CGCCCCGCCCCACCTGCCCGGTCCTCTTCACCCGACCCAATCCCTGCCCTGCCCGCCCCACCTCCACCAGCCAGATGCAGACCACTCCCCTTGCACCCGATCCCACCTTCCAGACGCTTCCCACCCCACCGCTTCCAGTATGCCTTCAACACCCCCCCCACTTCAGCCCACCTCTGACAGCCAGAACAAAAACGACTCCAGTCGTGTCCCCCCCTTATATATCCTTCCTGCTTGGCGGCCTTGTTCAGGCCCTGCCCTCTGTCCTTGATGGCCTTCACCTCCAGAAAGTCTCTACACTGGTCCCTAGCCTGACACACGTGCCCTCCTCAACCTCTCAAGAGTCTGGTGGAGCATCAGCCTTCACTCCCCCGTGTCTCTTGGGCTGGGCATACTTCCTGGGGAGAAGCGGGAATGATCTGGGCAAGTGCTCAGGACGCTGACCTTTGTCTGACAGCTTCCTCATGGTCTTTGTGACTTTTAAAACTCAGCCCCCGATTCACTTTTTTCCCCCTTTTAACTTAATGTTCGTGCTTTCTAAGCGTAATCTTCAGTACCTTTCTCCTTAATTCTCTTTATTTTATTTTTGTCTGTCCTGGGGCTTGAACGCAGGGCCTAGGCACTGCCTCAGCTCTTTTTTTTTTTTTTGGGTCCGGTCATGGGGCTTGAATTCTGAGCCTGGGTGCTGTCCCTCAGCTCTTCAGCTCAAGGCTAGCACTCTCCCACTTGAGCCACAGCTCCACTTCCGGCTTTTTTTCTTCTTGCTTATGTGGTGCTGGGGAATCGAACCCAGGGCCTCAGGCATGCAAGGCAAGTGCTCTACCACTGAGCCACCTTCCCAGCCCCATGTCTCAGCTCTTTTGCTCAAGGCCAGCAGTCTACCACTTGTAGAGCCACATCAACACTGCCAGTTTTCTGGTGGTTAATTGGAGAGAAGAGTCTCAAAGGCTTTCCTGCCCTTGGCTGGCTTTGAACTGTGATCATCAGCACTCAGCCCCCTGAGTAGTAAGGATGACAGGCGTGAGCCATTAGCGCCAGGCCACCCTAAATACCTGAAAAGCCCTTGGTACTTTTTGAGCTAATCCCTGTACATTTGCATTGTCCACTGCCCCCTCCCCCCAGCCCTGCCGCTCTCTGCTCCCCAGGTCACCACGGACCTGCACCACCAGTGCACAAAGAGGCACACCGGCACCTCTGCCTCGGCCCCGCTGGCAGCAGGCATGATCGCCCTGGCTCTGGAGGCCAAGTAGGTGACTGCTCCCCCATGACACCCAGAAGCCCTTCCTGCCTGTGGGGTGAATCCAACTCATCCATCTTCTCCGCCCCCAGCCCTCTCCTGTCTTGGAGGGACCTGCAGCACCTGGTGGTCCGTGCATCCAAGCCCGCCCAGCTGCAGGCAGAGGACTGGAGGGTCAACGGTGTGGGGCGCCAAGGTGCGGTGGAGCCAGGCAGGGGACCGGGGGGCTATGCCCCCCAAGTGTGACAGCCACTCACTCCTCCACACAGTGAGCCACCACTACGGCTACGGGCTGCTGGACGCCGGGCTGCTGGTGGACTTGGCTCGCACGTGGCTGCCCACAAAGCCTCAGAAGAAATGTGTCATCAGGGTTGTCCACGCCCCGACGTGAGCGAGGCCCCGCCCCGGGCGCGGCCCAGGCCTCCCCGCACACCCATCCATCATCATCCCTGCGCAGGGGAGGGTGGGGAGCCCCCCTTGTCCAGCCGCCCACCCTACCGAGCAGGCCAACAGGAGGTCCTCACCCCCCCAGCCCCATCCTGCCGCGGATGCACGTACAAAAGAATGTGTCGGCCTGCTCCGGCCGCCGCCGGGGGATCCACTCGCTGGAGCACGTGCAGGTGCAGCTCTCCTTGTCCTACAGCCGGCGGGGGGACCTGGAGATCTCGCTCACTAGCCCCATGGGCACACGCTCCACTCTCGTGGCCATCAGGTGTGCAGCCTGGCAGGGCCTCCTTCGCCCACTGCCGGGACCCTGCTGGCAAGGCCTGTACAGGGCACAGGCGGGCCTCCCTCCAGAGCACCCCCCCCCGGGAGGGGACTGTGCCATGGTGGGGCCCAGCTCTCATTTCCAGGCTGTCCTCTCCCCTCCCCTCCCCCCCTAACTGCCTGCCCCAGACCTCTGGACGTCAGCAGCAAGGGCTACAACAACTGGATCTTTATGTCTACCCACTACTGGGACGAGGCGCCCCAGGGCCTGTGGACCCTGGGCCTGGAGAACAAGGGCTACTATTTCAACACCGGTGAGAGCCGCCCGGAGGCTGCGCGCCACAGAGTGTGTAGCACACCCCAGGAGGGTGGAGGGTCTGGCCCCCAGCACACAGTAGGTGTACAGTTCTCCAGGGCAGTTACCCTAGGGAAGGAGAGGCTCTAGCCACTGGCACATAGTAGGCACGCAGTGACCCTGGGAAATGTCCAGTTACCCTCCAGGGAAGTGAAGTGGCAGACCAGCAGCACATAGTAGGTGCTTTGTTCCATATGATCTGGGGTCCTGGATGGCTGAGGACAATGGCCCCAGGACCTGGTTGGACCAGACTTGCCAATAGCTTCCCCTCCCCTCTGTGCCACCGGGATCCCCTGCCCAGGGACACTATACCGCTACACACTTCTGCTCTACGGGACGACTGAGGACATGACACGGCGGCCCCCAGGCCCCCAGGTGACCAGCAGTGCGTGTGTGCGGCGGGACACAGAGGGGCTGTGCCAGGGTGAGTGGAGGAGGGGACAGAGGTGGGCAGAGTGCGTGTGCGGCCCAGGGCGGGCAGGACCGGGCAGGCCCAGGCCACAGGCCGCAGCCTCATGCCCTCTGACTTCCTGTCCCCGCCCCCTGCAGAACGCATCGGGCATGCCCCCCTCCTAGGCCCCCTCCGCTTCCCTGCCTGTCGGCCGAGGTTCGTCAACTGAATCCAACGGGTGGTGTGACCACAGGGCCTGGGCACTCAGCCATGTATGTTCACCAAGTACGTGCCAGTTGCCAGAGCTCCTGTGACCCCTGGTGGGGTCGCTCTGCCAGTGACTGCACCACCGCCTCCTGCCCCATAAGCCAGACCAGCGTCAGGCCTCCTGCTCAGGGCCCACCACGCCCAGTGGCCACGCGCAGCCCACCGCCACTGCCCAGCCCTACTGCTGCCACCCAACCTGGGCCACAGGACTGGCCTAGCGGTGCTGGGGGTGGCATGGGGGACCAGCTTCCTCTGCCAGGTATCTGAGGGCCTCCCATCCTAGGCCCTGGAGCTATGTCTGCCAGCACCCCAGGCCCACGATGGGCTGGAGCATAGATGGAAAATGGCCTCCCTGGGGTCCCAGGTGCACACTGCAGGTCCCTTCCCTCGCCCAGCTGGGACCGGCTCCTTGCCCCCAGGCCCTGGCAGGCTACCAGTGTCTGCATTCAGGCCAAGGGTGCGGGCTACGGAGCCTTGCAGCTTGAACTCCACAGCAACCAGTGAGACAGAGAACGAGAGAGAAATGTCTCCTTACCCATGGGAGACGGGATGGATGGGCTGAGGCTGGACCACAATAACCATCCCTTTCCTGCCCCAGAATTGGTCCCAACTACAGAGCTTGACAATAAAGGTTGACTAGAAGGTGCTAAGCCTGTGGCTTCCTCTGGGGACAGCGTAGGCTGTGCATCCATAGTGCAGAACTAGTCCCCCCCTGCCCAAGTCGACCCCTGCAAGCCAAAAAGAAAACAAAATCATCCTAAGAGCTCGGCACTAGTGGTGCATGACTGTAATCCTAGCATCTCAGGAGGTGTAGATCTGAGGAGCATGGTTCAAAGCCAATCCAGGCAGGAAATTCTGTAAGACTCTTATCGCCAAAGAACCACCAAGAGCTGGAAGTGGAGCTGTGGCTCAAGTGGGAGAGCATTAGCCTTGAGCAAAAAAGCTCAAGGACAGTGTCCAGGCCCTGAGTTCAAGCTCCATAGGACTGGAACAAAAAAAAAAAGCTGGAAATTTAGCTTAGTGGAAGAGCACTTACCTAACAATTGTAAGGCCCAGTATAGGGTCCTCAGCTCTTAAAAAAAAAAAAAAATCAACTGGGCACTGGTGGCTCACGCCTGTAATCCTCGTTACTCAGGAGGTTGAGATCTGAGGATCGAGGTTCAAAGCCAGCCTGGGCAGGAAAGAACATAAAACTCTTTTTGCTTTCTTTGTCGATCATGGGACTTGAACTCTGGGCCTGGGCGCTGTCCCTGAGCTCCTCAGCTCAAGATGGGTGCTCTACCACTTGAGCCACAGAGCCACTTCCAGTTTTCTGGTGGTTAGTTGGAGGTAAGAGTCTCATGGACTTTTCTGCCCAGTCTGGCTTTGAAACATGATCCTCAGACCTCAGCCTCCTGAGTAGTTAGGATTACAGGTGTGAGCCACCAGCACCCAGCTCATAAGACTCTTATCTCCAATCAACCACCAGAAAACCAGAAAGTAGCACTGTGGCTCAAGTGGTAGAGTGCTCACCTTGAGCTGAAGAGCTCAGGGACAGCGCCCAGGGCCAGAGTTCAAGCTCTATGAATGACCAAAAAAAGAAAAATCAGCCTCAGGCTCAGAGACATCCCCCACCCCAGGTTCAGGTTATATGGGGAGGGGAAAGTAGGAACCCCCCGTGCTGCTGATGCTGAGTTCCCACACTATTCCTAGGTCTCCCCACAAGCCTGGAACACAACACGCATCCTCTAAAAGTGGCTGGCCTGGCTTAGTGGTAGAGTGCTTGCCTAGCATGCATGAAGCCCTGGGTTCAATTCCTCAGTACCACAGAAACAGAAAAAGCCAGAAGTGGTGCTGTGGCTCAAGTGATAGAGTGCTAGCCTTAAGCAAAAGAAGTTTGGGGCCAGTGCCCAGACCCCAGGTCTGGAAAAAAAAGTGGCTAGGCCCAGTGGGCTGGCCACTGTGCAAATAGTCTGGTAGTTCTGCAGACAAGCGTGGAGTTCACCTAGGTTCCAGGAACGGTATGGAAACACGTCCATACAGAAGCATTCACCCACATTGCCAGCAGGAGGAATCCAAGCTCCGCTCTGTCCCTCAGCAGCACACAGACACCACGTGGCCACAAACAGGACGAGGCTCTGACACACACTGCAACCTGGAGAGACCTTGAGGACACCATGCTGCGAGAAGCAGACACAAAGGTGTTAATGTCCAGAACAGGACAATCCAAAGCAAGAAAGTGGACTTGTGGGAGTGAGGATCTGGGGAGATGATGGGGCTTAATCTCCTAGGGATGGAGTTTTTTCTTTTTTTTCTTTTTTGTGGTCGGCCATGGGGCTTGAACTCTGGGCCTGGGCGCTGTCCCTCAGCTCTTCAGCTCAAGGCAAGCGCTCTACCACTTGAGCTACAGCGCCACTTCCGGTTTTCTGGGTTAGTTGGAGGTAAGAGTCTCATGGACTTTTCTGCCCAGTCTGGCTTTGAAACATGATCCTCAGATCTCAGCCTCCTGAGTAGCTAGGATTACAGGTGTGAGCCACCAGCGCCCGGCGGCGGAGGTTTTTCTTTTTAATGTCTGTTCCTGAGCTTTTGTGTTCAAGGTTAGTACTCTTATCACTTGAGCCACAACTCTCCTTCCAGCTTTTTGCTGGTTAATTGGTGAAGAGTCTTATAAACTTTCCTGCCCTGATTGGCTTTGAACCATGGTCTTCAGATCTGAGCCTTCTCAGTAGCTAGGATTACAGCCACCAGCACCTGGCTATTTTTGATTTTATTTAAGCAGAGGAGCTTGAACTCAGAGCTTTGTGTGCTCTTGGCTTTTTCTCTCAAGGATTGTGTGTGTGTGTGTGTGTGTGTGTGT